ATTTGTAAAAAAAGAGTTTTTTTCGAAAAATCAATATATTCAGACTTTTTAGTTTTCGAAGGCAGTCGAATGTTGGACCAAGTCCTCTTTGATCTGTTTCTTGGTAATTTTCTTCTCTGGCTTTTCGTTTCAGTTTGTTATCTTTAATTAAAAATTTCACAAAAACTTTCAAATATACCTATTACTTATTTCTGTTCTTATTGCACAGTTTATGTAGTGAATAGGTATTATTTGTTTTTACTTAGAAATCAAACATTGTGTTCTTTCTAAACAATATTAATTTATTATTCATATAATTAATATTTCTTTATCCTTTTAACACATAATTCCAGATATAAAAATTTGTTATAGTGTTTTCGCCATCGACATGTAGTAAAAAAAATTGAAGGAGCAGAGCAGGCAGTTTCAGGTGCGGGTGTCTATATAATTTTTTGTAGGGTTTATAAAATGATCATTAAAAATATTTATTTAGAATAGGTAATTGTATTATTTCGGTTATACTTACATGCTTCCTCAGATCTTTTTTTTATAAATCTAAAAAAGTTACTATTCTTCTTGTTCTTCTTCTTCTTCAGCTTTTTCCTTTTTAGGTGTCGCTGTTGCTTACTTTTTGTCGCCTCTCATTTCTGTGCACACAATCTTCTTTACCTAAACGTTTCTCTCTTTAAGTTCTCTGCCACACAGTCCTTTCATCTTCTTCTCGGTTTTCCTCTAGCTATTCTTCCATCAACTTCTCACAGCGCTATCCTTCGTCATAGTTTTCATCTCTACATCTGATATAAACCAAACCATTGCAGTCGTTGTTCTTGATTATTTTTTGAGACTGTAGTCTCCAGGCTTTTTCCAACATTTTCATTTCAGCTACCTCCATCTTCTTTTCCTGAATCTTCTTTACATGCCACACTTCACCACCGTACACCATCGCAGGTCTGACCACACTCTTGTATATCTTTCCTTTCAGCCCTTCCCCGATTTTTCGATTACAAAGTATCCCGCTCATTCGCTTCCAGTTAAACTAACCAGCCTGTATCCTGTGGGAAATTTCTCGATTTAGTGTCCCATTTTCCGTTATGTAGAAACCATTTCTCTTTCTCTCAACCACATATACTCCGTTTTCGACCTGCTTACCTTAAGACCTCCCTCCTGAATCCTCCCTCTTTTCCAAAATTCCAACTTGTTCTCCATTTCTTTGTTCTTTTCTACTAACACGATATCATTAGCAAAGAGCATTGACCAAGGAGCCCCCTCCCTTACTTTCTCTGTTAGTACATCCATAACAAGATTAAACAGGTAAGGACTCAGTAGAGTTCGGATGCAAACTAACCATCTCTGGAAAATTTTTGGCCATTCCGACAGTAGTCCTCACTTACATGTCCCTCACGAGCCTTACGTACTTTTCAGGAACTAATCGTACGCCTTCTCAATATATATAAATATCAAGTACCTTTAAATATAGCTGTCTTTTCTTCTCGCTGTATTTCTCTATCAACTATCAAAACGTCAGTACAGGTACCAAGATCTTCAACTCTTCGCAAGAAATATGTGGGGGATCTTACAAAGACGTTATTGAAGGTATTAAAAGCCGGATAAGAGATGAATATCTGTCGATATCTGTTGACGAGACTACTGATGCCAAGGGTCGGCAAATCGCGAATTTCATTATTGGAGTTTTAAACAGTTTAGCTGATGACTCCAACAAGTCGTATTTAATCAGCGTAAAATGTTTAGAAAAAACCAACTATGCAACAATTGCTCGATTTGTTAATGAATCTTTGACAAATTTCTTTTTACCGAATCAAGTACCTTCTGAAAAAATGTTGCTACTAGTTAGCGATGCTGCTTCCTACATGGTTAAAGCTGTTACTAGTCTTAAGATTTTTTTCCGAATTTGATTCATTGTACATGCTTAGCGCATGGTTTAAACAGGGTGGCAGAGCAAGTTAGACTCGAGTTTCCAAATGTAAACACTTTAATCAACAATGTAAAGAAAGTATTTTTAAAAGCACCTTTGCGAGTAGAAGTATATAGGGAGATGCTTCCCGATATCCCTTTGCCACCGGAAAAAGTGTTGACTAGATGGGGACGTGGTTGAATAGTGCCATATTTCTTGCAAATAATTATATTGATATCAAAAATGTTATATCAAATTTTGATCCTTCTTGTTGTATTGCTGTTCAGAAATGTCAAAATATTTTTAGTGAGAATTCTGTTCAGAATGAACTGTCCTATATAAAAGCAAATTTTGACATAATTGTAAACTCTATTACAAAACTAGAAGTCAAAAATTATCTTTAAATGATAGTATTTGCATTGTTGATTATGTCAAAGAAAGAATAGTAAACCTTTCAGGGACAATTGGAAAAAAAATTAAAGATAAATTTAGTGAAGTTTTAAACCAGAATGAAGGCTTTTTTATTGCAATCAATAAATAACATAATCAATGGAAGCTTTAACGAAGTTATTAATACGGATCCCTCGCTAGTGTCAAATTTTAGATTTGCTCCAATTACATCCTGTGATGTTGAAAGATCGTTTTCCTCATATAAACACATATTAACTGATAGAAGGCATAACATTACTCTTGAAAATATTTTATCACTATATAGGACTGCAACAGCCAGAACGAGGACATTTTCTTGTGCAATTTGATTTATATTTTTTTATTAAATGTAGTAGTAAATAAACACTCTCTAATCTAAGATATACTATAATTTTATTTCTCACCAAATCTCAAGCCCTAAAAATTCAAAAATATATTTTTTAAAGTGCATATATAAATGCATATTGCATATAATAAAGGCATATTTGGTTACTTTTTAAGTGCATGTTGCATGCATATTTTAACTTTTTTTAGAGCATATAATCCAGTCTCTAATAATCACGCAATAATTTAATATAAAACATACATAACTCGCTTCAAAAAATTATTGTTCAAAAAAATTGTAAACTGGTTTTCATATGATGACAATATCATTCTTGGAAATTTAAAAAATAGCAAATAGCTCACTAAAAAAACCTGGCCACGCCTATGATAGTAAAATTCTATAAAATAAAATAAAAGATATATGTAGAGTACTATAGACAGTATCGACTGTATAATATTATAATTTACTCGAAGTATCGTTTGCCAATATTTTTAATCATTTATACGATTAATTGGAAAAATCACGTATGATTTAATTCAAATCAGCAAAATCGTTTAGCTCCTATTAAAACTTTCTATTAATTGAACACCGGTAGCTATTATTTAAAATTAAAGCAATTTTAAAACCGAAAAACATTTCATAACGAAGCCTTATATTTAGTTTGGGAGATATTTTATCGTTATTTTGGTTATTTTTATTACCTTGTAACATTACCTATTTTTATTACCTATTTAAATCACAAATCCAATTTTTTATCTTCTTTCAGGATTTTCTTCCAATTTAAATTATGAGAAATTTATGAATATTTATAAGGATTATACTTATATAAACCAAACAGCGCAGAAGAAAGGTAAACACATAAAAAGATGAGATATCAAAAACGGAATAAAAATTATAAAAACCTAAATTAAAATCAAAAGAATTAAAATAGGAACTTGAAATGTTGAATAAAAGTCGAACAAAACCACAAAAAAGTCGGTCAAAGACTTCGACAAGGATGCTGCCTGTCACAAACCTTATTTAAAATTTAAATTGATAAAACACTAAAAAACTGGAACAAGAAATGTGGACAGATGGGTGTAAAAATTGACGACAACTATATCTGTAGAAGAAAGGATGAGGAAGCTGGTTCAATGATTTAAAAACTATATTCTCACCTTCCTACATTTGGTAGATAAAAAATTGATACAAATCTCGAAGGACCAGCGACCAATTGGTCGCAAAATTGCGGATTATTAATGGTGTAGTAAATAGTAAAATTGAAATAGAATAATTAAAATAAGATTTACGGTGGAAATATTTTTATTTTAATATTTACAAAAATAAATAGCAGTATCAGAATTGCCAACAAATCACCCTTTTTTAATGATAATAAAAAACATAAATGTTCAAATAAAATGTTCTTAAAATACCCAACTGTTTATATTAATTGTTCTTAAAACTAGAAAATACGATTTATAGACCAAAAAAGTTTAGTGTTAGAGCAAAAATGTGTTAGTAAGCGCATAACTCAACAACGCATGGACCAATCTTAACAATTATTATTTGCATAATATGCACTATTTTATTCACACTTTTAGTTGAAGAATAGTTAGATAATAATAATAGAAAAATTTAAATTGCAGTTTCTGTCGTAACTTGTCACAAATTTCTCAATTCGAGTCTATGTTTTCGTTTAAGACATGGCGATAGAGTGCTGAAAAACTTCAAAGGCGGCATCTGAGAGTGGGCATTTTGATTGTTTCTTATTCTGTGGCTTAGATCCATTGGACAAGCTTCGTCTTTAAAATCTACAACCTACAACATACAATATATACTGGAGTTTGTTCTAAAATGGTAGAAAATTTTACCATTTTCTACCATATTCAAAATATTAATTTAACGAAAACAACACTAAGCTCATTGAATTAGCGATATACCATAAAATCAGAAACATAACACAGTGCTTTAATATTGGTAACTATTTACGCAAATCATATTTAACAAAGTTTACACAAAATCATGTGTGGGCATTATCTTCTATTAAAAAAATCTCAGATTTGTTGAAAATATTGCACAATAATAATAATGTGTGTAGTAACCTAGTCACTATACCTGTCGTTGTGCAACCATTGTCAAACCCAGTAATATTAACATATCTTTAAGTAAAACTACTAAAATTTTATACAAATTATTATTTTAAGTACTATTACTTTAAGTAAAATATAAGAACAGGTAAATATAGCTTTTGTGGGTAAAAAGTAATATTCATATTTCTTGGCGGTACCAGTATATAGGCAATCAGAACTACAAAAGTGCAAACAGTGTTACCGTCATTGACAGCCTTATAAAACAGAACATTTTCAATAAATTTACAGTTCAATTTGGTGCTTTTGCGAGGAATGTAACGTGGCATTTCGCTCGTTCAATTATCGTTGTGAATGCGCAAATTTATCGAAATTGAAGATTAGGCAACTACACAGTGTTTTTATATCGGGTCTTACAGGTGGTTATCGGTGTTAAATGTGAACATTTTGGATTTCAGTTTTGTGTATGACTATTATTTTTACAAATATTTAGCAGAATCTCCATAACAGGTAAACAAAATACATTCGAGAAATTTTTAAATTGATCAGTGTAATAACAAAGTTTATATTATACAAATACAAAATAAACTCTCAAATCTTTTCATAATAAGAAATGTTTCTAAGTTACCTTGTGAGGTATTTATTTTGTTTTGACGTTTGTCATTTAAAAGAGGTCAAAGGAAAACTTTGGAAATATATAAATAATATCTACGTAAAACTAGTAAACATCATTATAATCTACAATGTTAAAAGTCAAAATAGCGATAACAAAAATGTTAGTTTAATTAAGTTCTCCAGTGCTAATTGCTCTTGTAGGGAATTTTTCTGAAAAACAGGTTTATTTACACCTGATTATAGCTGTAAATGCTCATTACATTAGTAATAAATAGATTTATGTAGAAAAATCTGGTTTAAGTACGACAAAAGGTTTTTAAAATGTATTGTATAAGTGTGCTTCTAATGTGTACTATCAGTTTCTTTATATATATGATATATAAATAGTCGACTAAAACTAGTATAGCATTTTCTAATAAAATACTGGATTATAAGTTATAAGCACAGCATATAAATTACAATCTACATATTATTACATACATAGCCGTCAGCCGTGTCTACTGACCCCGCTGCCGGGGATATTTTAGTGTAAAAAAAATCCTTAAATTCTTCAAAAAATGTTAAAACTTTATTCTTATTTCTTATATATCAGTTTTCAGTTCAGATATAAATTTTTAACGTTTAACACTCGGTCATACATTACCGCTTGAGTTAATTTTTAAAGAAACTTAAATTTTTTTTACTATCGGTCATCATGTATTAGTCTTTCCATCATTTGCCATAGGCTAATATATGCCATTCCATGACTGCTGTTATTTTGTATTTTTTAAATTATCTTATACATCTATTCATCTTTTCGGGCTTTAAAACGATAGGTGAAAAACCACAAATTGAAAATACATAGGTACCTCTTTCAATCCAGTCTTCTTTTGTTTTAATAAAATATTTATTTAACAAATTGTTTAATATTTATCTACAGAGGAAACTGACAACAATGCCAAATTGATTTATTTTGAACTTTTCTTATCAAAACACAGTATAGTTCATTACTATAAACAGTGGGACTACTTAGTAGGTATATAGCAAAAATAAACAATGACTTCTTAAATTAACTCAATATTTAATGTTGATGAAATGTGATGAAACAGTCTCTTATTTTCACGAGCCAGGCGTGTACCAAAGAATATACTTTGCGTGTATGTTATACATTTTTGGGGAAAAGTATAGGGGACGGCGGGTAATGGCGTCACCTTAAGAGATCATCATTTTTTGTGACTTAATTTTGAGATGAAAGAAATATGTAACTATGCTAGCGATATAAGAACTAAGTTTTTAACTTAAATTAGTTTTCAGAAGTTTTTCATTCGCCTTGATTAAGCGACAATAAAGCAACACTTTTTTGTGTAATGTTCAAGAAGTCACCAACATAATTTTTGGCAGTCTTTTCCACTGCATTGAGAATGAGCTTATTTCGAGCAAAGTGTACAGCGATACCAAAGTTCAGTGTCTCCAAATTCTCCACAAATTAAACATTTCTCCTCGTCGGCAAAACTCTCGGGCACCACGGGTTGCTTTTGGTGGTGGTTCAGTAATGTTTTGGACAGGGATTTCTTTTGATGCGCATACGGATTTCGTCGTGATAGACAGAGGTGCGTTAACAGCAGTAAGGTACCTACATAAACGGAAATCTTACCACATCATGTGATGCCCTATGCTGGATTTATTGGCAACGAATTCCTGCTAATGCAGGATAATGCTAGACCACACACAAACAAGTGTCCGGACAAACTGATTTTAAAATTAATGTTTTCTCCACGTGCTCGAATATTGCCTGAATTCTCCTTGGCATGCCTAAAAAAAAAATGAGAAATGTCCTGTTGAGGAATAGATTCCCATTCCTCTAAAAGGGGTTCTTGTAACTGAATTAAGGTTAAAGGGGTAGGAACACGACTACGTATCCTTCGCCCAATTATGTCCCAAACATGTTGGATTGGCTTAGAGTATTCAATGTTGGCCATTCCATTACAGGAATGCTTACTTCATTTAAAAACTGTTGAGTGATTCTCGCACTGTGGGACTTGACATTATCATTTATCAGAACAAAGTCATTTCAAACAAAACCATCGTAAGACACAACAAAATCTTCCACCCTCGATAGCCTACCCTAAGACTGAAGGTACATTCTGCAAAACGCTCATGTAGTCTTTGCCATACTTTCTCACGGCTATCTGGATACCGCAAGGTAAACCTGGGACTCATCGCTAAATAAAACGTGCCTCCAATTATTTACAGTAAAATGATCATGGTTTCTGATAAATTGACGCTGCGCAATTAGATGGCGCCTGAGAAGTTGTAAGTAGGTCTATTGCATGTCTGCGACTGCTTAAATTTGCTTCTTCAAGCCTTCGTCTAATTTTAATCCATAGGTTTTTATTCCTTAAGTACCATGGCGGGGTCAAAATTGACCCCCCGCGTTTTTAATGCCAAGTTTCGCTACCGAAACATAGATTGAGCATTGCGCGCTTTCTGCTAATCTTCGACCGGTAGGTGATTTATCGATCTACGAAAATTCCGTTAGTTTATCTGTTACTACTGCAGAGTTAGGCACGCATAGGGTCAATTTTGACCCGCTTATGGTATAAGTGTTTCTAGTGCAATTAACGAGCAATTTGAAATGGCGGGGCAATAAACGTCCTCTGACACAGAAATAACTTGAAGAGGAGGGACAAAAAATTATGGACAATGGACTAGATAGTGATAGTGAGTTTTTAGACCAGGCTAGTGAACACAGTGATCACGAAACAGTGAGACAGTGAAGAAGAATGGGACGATGATGACGAAAAAATTAGGCAAATTAATAATTCCGAAACTGGTAGTGAATATTCGGGTGAAGAAAGTGATATAGCTGACTCAAGGATGTGTTTTATGGCAAAAATAGGTACAAGTGGTCTAAAACTTCTCCCACCTTTTCTCGTACACGTAAGCATAATTTAATTAGTAATTTACCTGGTGTTATTGGAAAAGCTCGAGCTAGTATGCCAGAGAATCCAGTTGATGCTTGGGAATGTATTATTAGCCACGATATATTGCAAGAAATTCTTGAGAAAACCAATGAACGAATAACTAATATGGCTTCTAAATATAATTTACACAATTTATCGTGTCAATATACCAATCATCTTGACATAATTGAATTAAAGGCCTTCTTAGGCTTATTATATTTAGCTGGGGTATTTAAATCCAATAATGAAGATTTAAGGTCTTTATTTGCTACGAATGGTACTGGCCGTGATATATTTCGAGCAGCCATGTCACTAAACCGATTTTATTTTTTGCTTGGAAGCCTTTGTTTTGACGACCCAGCTACTAGACAAGAACGTATTGCGCACGGAGATAAACTGGCAGCTATATCCAATATTTTTAATATGTTTATAATTAATTGCCAGTCCAATTATAGCTGTGGTGAATATCTCACAATAGATGAAATGCTTATTGCATTTAGAGGAAGGTGCCAATTCAGGATGTATCTCAAAAATAAGCCAGACAAATACGGTTTGAAAATGCAGTGTTTAGTAGACTCTAAGACACATTATTTGCTAAATGGTTTTATATATACTGGAAAAGATACACGCAGAGCAAATCCAAAAAAGTTATCCATTCCCACTCTAGATGTTTTGACACTTATTCCACCAATTTCTGGTACAAATAGAAACATAACAGCAGATAATTGGTTTTTGTCCATTGAGCTCATAAACGAACTGAGAAGCCATAAAATTTCATATGTTGGAATTTTAAAAAGAAATAAAAGAGATGTTTTTAAAAGCGAACGATTAATTATACAAAAAAAAATTCTAATAAACATTTTTATTCAAATTTATCTCAGCTACATTTTTTATTTGACATTTTTTTTCTACGGAGTGCAGATTCTTGGTAAATCGATTTTTTCTGTTTTCCCCACTTACGACTGGAGGTTCTAGGGGGAAGCCTTATTTTTTAGCCTATTATTTTTAGAGGTCAAATCACAGACGACTGAACTACTAGGAATGTAGTAGTTTTAAATGAGGTACTACTTTCCATATGATTCCATTTATAATAATTTTATAAAATTTTGCCCGTTTTGAATAATTTTGTCACTAAAACAACATAAAAATAATGTACTGATGCATTGCATTAGTTTAATTATCCAAAAGGCAATAATGTAAGTATTATGATTAAGAAAATAGTTGAGAATAAAATTAACTTTAACGATATTGAAAATAATTTTTAAAATATTAATATTTACGCTCGTCTGAAGGCACTAAAAAATATAAACACCGACACCACAGACATAAGCAATGTTGCCATTTTAATGGGTTTATGCCTCCAATAGTTTTAATTTAGTAATCACTCAAACATTATCTAACAATTTATTAAAATTCATAATCTACCATATTACAAAGAATCCTTATCTACCATTGTCCACCTTCTCTCGGTCAACAACTTAGTAGCACACTTATACAACAAATTTCAGGTTTCTACAAACTGAATTTAATACCACCAAAATAGATTTTGTTCAGGGTGCTAGATACTTTAAGTATAAAGGACCCCTATTATCTCTAATTGTTGATCAACTCCTTTTCTCTTTCAACCGCCCCCCTCCTTTTCTTCAGTCATTTCCTTTACTTTTATTCTCATTAGTCTCTGAGGAACCCAGCCTCTTCAATTTTAAATTCAATCACATATGTTACTACTTTAATTTCTTCAGCCTGTAGATTTCCATCTTACTAAACTTAATTTTATTAATTTTTCACCATAGGAGCAGTCTTAAATAAAGTCATTTAAATAGGAGGTCTGATATTAGCTTCAAATATTTGTTATTTAATTTTTACCTTGTCCTAGATGTGTTAAACATAAAAGGATAAATTTCATATATATATATATAAGCTAACCCAATATTAAATACACTTTAGACCACA